TTTTTTTTTTTTTTTTTTTGTCTTTTTTTCCTTTTACCTTCAGGTGTGATGAACCCAACCCAAGATGAACCCAGCTCGCACGACTAGGTTGGCAATGAACCCAACTCGTGTGATTGGGTTGGCAATGAACCCAGCTCGTGCCTGGGTTCGCGACATACCCAGGCGCAAGCTGGGTTCTCAATCCCTGCCAAAAAAAAGAAAGCATGTTCTTCTCAAAAAAAAGAAAGCATGTTCTTCTCAAACAAATAGCTCTAGAAACATCCAACAACAGAAGCAGAAATGAACCTAAGAGCAGCAAAAATTTCAAGAAATTGAAAATTGAGGATCTGAAATTCCAGCACTCAATGTCAATGGCCTAAACTAGAAAATCAAACTGATCACATCCATCCTTCGTGCTGACGTAGCAAATCAATCCAATTTACAAACACTTGGCGGGAAACGATGGGCATTCGTCTCTCACCTGTAATTGATGAAATTAAAAAGAGGGAACAGATTTGGAACTTGTTATCAGGATGAATGACGAAGCTTTTGGATAGATCTCTGATGCCGTTGATGAGTGTTTCGTGACTGAACTTCCTCTGCGCGTCGGTACCGATGCCAAATACGTTTTCCAATAGATCGAATCTGCTCGCTCTCGACGATTTGATGTGTTCTCCCAATTCCTCAATCTCGTACTCTCCATCCTCGAACCTCACGTCCTTTCTGCAGCTACTATCCTCCATCGCCACCAGAAACAATCGAAGACGACGACTGATTCCTCTCTTTCCCCACGGGAAGAAGGATCAATCAACGTGAACAATTCCAGAGTCTACATGAATGAAAAATAATTGGTTTTTTTAACACAACTTGAAGATAAGAAGAAATTGACTAGGTAGATGGAAAGGCGACGATAGTAACCGAAATCGTAACCTTTTGCACGGATTAAGAGAAGAAAGATCACGAGAAATTCGGGCTAAACTGACGTTGACAATGTTATCGAAAAATTTTGCATTAGCTGCTCATGGGTTCACGACGAACCTAGGAGCTGGGTTCATCGCGACGAACCCAGGCTCCTAGGTTCACCTAAAGGTAAGAAAAAAAAGATAAAAAAAGATAAAAAAGGTTGAAGGAAGGAGAGGATGGGGGAAGAAAACGAGGGTAAATTGGTAATTAAAGATAAAAAATTTGGCCATGTCATCGAGTTTTGCCAGATGGATTTCACACGTAATTTAAGTAAAGAAAAAAAATAAAATTTTTCGTTAATTAACCTGCCACATCAGCCAAAATTTAACGGAATGACTAAAAAGGGGCCGGATTTGTGAACAGTAAAGACCAAAAAAGAGATTTTTTCGGTACAAGGACTAAAAAGGGGCTTTTTCCTATAGTAGAGGGACCAAAAATGGTACTTAACCTTTTTAAAACCTTATAAATACCCATACAAATTCAGAATTAACAGAGCTTGGTGGAGGCTGGTGGCAGCCCTCGTTTGGGCATTATTGGAGATCAAGATAGAGATTCCATCAACAATAGAAGATCAAGGAGTTCGATTTCCTCAAATTGGGTTTTGGTTTTTCCTTAGATTTTTATCTATTGTTTAATATTTGAATGTTCATAACTATGATTTCAGATTTTATTATTTTTATTATGAACTAATTTATTCTACTAGAGCTACGATGTAGCCTAATCAATTCAATATAGATTTTGTGATTTTATGCTTTCAATTAAAGTTATTCGCATGAAAAGTTTATATTATTGAACTTAATGCATTGGAAGCCTGATCATCTTTTAATTGATATCTTTCAATTGATTTAGTAATTTATGCATGACCTTGAGAAAGAATTGCGTAGATTAGACCAATAATAATGTTAACACACCGTGTGTTAGACTATGAGATCGAGAGGTAATTAGTTCACATGTGATAGTGGAGGAAGAAAAGAGAGTTAGGAGCTCCCCCTTCTTAAGCTAGAGGTTTCTATAGAATTTAATACTCATTAGTTTGTTTAAAATTACATAGAGATGTGATTAATTTAACAAAAAAGTGAAGGATTAGCTTAACTTGAGAAAGCTGATTAATTAATTTAGAAAAATCCGCCATCACATGCAATAACACTCAACAATTTAGTAATTCAGAATTTATATTAATTGATTATGGTGAAGTCAATGCCTTAGTATCTCATATCTTAGTTAGTTTTATTTTAATTGTTAGTTTCTTTTTATTATTTTTAATTAAAGTTTTTCCTTATTTGATTGTTCAAATAAATTTAGATTAATTATTTTTGTACTTAATTAGATACAATCCTCATAGGTTCGACACTCTCTCATCATTATATTACTTGGAGTGACTAATCCACTTGTTAGGGTGATTTTAGTGCATCACAATTAAATTGAGTCTTAACCATGGCATGAAAAATTGAAAAATAGTGAAAAATATCAGATTTGTGTTTCATCAAATAAACCCAAGTGCAGCGGCTATAATCATCCACAGTGGTAAAAAAATATTGTGCTCCTGAAAGGGAAGAAGTTTTGCATGGACCCCAAACATCAAGATGTAATAAAGCAAAAAGAGAGACTGATTTATTGAAACTCAAAGGAAAAACATTTCTTGTCTATTTGGCATGATGACAAATATCACAACACTTATTTAATGAATTAAAAGATAAACCAAAAAGTTTAGGAACTAAAGATAAACAACCGACAGAGGGGTGACCCAGACATTGATGCCATACATCAAGAGATTCACAAACAACACTAGTTGCTAGGATAGGTACTTTCAATTCATTGAAATAATATAATCCATCTTTCATCTCACTCGTTCCAATCAATTTCTTCGTTTTGAGGTCATGTAAAACACAGAAGTTAGGAAAGAAAGTTACCACACAATTAAGAGCTTTAGTTAACTCACTAACAGAAAGAAGGTTACAAGTGAATGAGGGAATATAAAGAGCATTATTTAAAAGGATGTGGGAGGAGAATTGAAGATCCCCACTACAATCAACATTGAGGTTGGAACCATTTGGTAATTGAACCAACTGAAAACACTGAGAAGAATTAGGATTAAGCAAAAGATTTTTGTGACAAGTCATATGATCTGAAACACCACTATCAATAATCCAAAAGAAATTATTAGAAGGATTTTGGGAGCTCTTACCAACAAAATTTGACACACTGGGTTGTTTAGAGAGTAAGGACATTAACTGGTCATATTGTTCAGAGTTAACCTTGTGACTGGAGATGTAGATGAGCTCAATTTTGATGGAGAAGCATTAGATTGATCCATTATAGCGTTATCAACCATGGTAGCATTATTTGCTACATTAGAAAATCCATAATGTTCCTTGAAAGAACTCCCCCTGTTTTGCCAACCTGCTAGATATCCAATTAACTCAAAGCATTTATCCTTTGTATGGCCAACCTTCTTACAATGGTCACACCTTAGTTTAGTACCAATTTTCCAGTTTGTGGACTGATCTTGAATTCTATTCATATTAGCACCCTTCTTCCATTTTGGTGGTTGATCTTGAGATTTGTTCACGTTGTCTCCTTGGATAGTTGAATTTTTCACAGTAAAAGTAGCTGATTCAATTGAAGGGTCGTGACTCACTGTCAGTAAAAGCATATGCCTTGTTCAATCCAAACAGTGCATCCATGCTTAGAATTTGTGAGTGAACAATGCTGTAACAATCATTTCAGCCCATAAGAAATTGGTGTAGCTTTTCTTCATCTCTTTCAGCCACAAATTCCTTGGCTGCACCGCAAGAGCATTTTGGAACCTTTGAATAGGTTCCTAATTCATCCCATAGACCCTTTAACTTGGTACAATATGCAGCAACGGATAAATTACCTTGTTGTGCAAAGGCTATCTCCCTCTTCAGTTCGTGTACTCTTGGAGCGTTGCCTTGTGAAAATCTTTCTTCTAAGTCAATCCACACATCACAAGCCTTCTCTAAGTTTGCAACACCATCAAGTAATTCTGGAACAATAGAATTAAACAACCAAGAGGTGACCATTGAGTTGCATTTGTCCCAAGCTTGTGCATCTGGATCATCATCATCAAGTTTGGAAATTGATCCATCAACAAGACCAAACTTGTTCTTTGCTCGAAGTGCATTCGACATTGCCCGAAGCCATGTGGGATAATTTTCCCCCTTAAGTGGGCACGAAACTAAAATGTTTCCTGGACTATCGGATGAGTTGAGAAAATAAGGTGATGAGGAAGTTTGTTTCTGGATTTTGCAGGATTTTGGAGTTTCATCAGCCATGATAGCGATGATGAAAAAATTTCTAAGGGTGAGGTAGTCTGCGGCAAAACCTTGCCATCAATAATGGTTGTTTATCGAGTTTTGTAACCCACTCTGATACCATGTAAAACTGATGAGAAGCTCATACCTTTGCATTCCACTACTATGACAATATATACAGATTACAATAGGTCTCCTTAACTTTAGGATCAAGTCAAGAAATCAATATACAATACGAAAATAATTAATACTAGATACATATATACATGGTAATCTCATAATAGTGAGATTCTCATATCTCTAACATAAGCTAAGGAGCTCTTTTACAATAATATTTTGTCATAAAAAAGTAGCCATTAGATCACATGGTCCAACTTGAAATATAACTAGAAAGGACACAAAAGGTTTGGCTAGTTTTAGTTTAACTAAACTAAACTTGTGCAACTTGATGGCACTAATATACTGCTACTTCCACCAATGCTACTTCCACCAAAGCTGCTTCATGCAACTCTCATCACTCCTCCTTGGCATCAAGGTTGCACATTCCAAGTTGTTCTCTTAATAGCTCAAACCTGGACTTCTATAATCGTTTTGTAAAAATATCAACTATCTGCTCCTCTAAACTATAGTAGATTAACTAAACTTCATTTTCGAATTTTTCTCCTGGAACCAGTGAAGTATTAACAGGTTTACAACTCTTCATAGCAAACTCCTCCTACATTGTAACTCTTGAGGCCATTGATCTTATAGCTCTAAATAATTTGCAGGTTCTTCAATGACTAGATTACACCTTTCATAGATATCAGTTAGTGTTCTAGTCCCTCTAATAGCAAAATCATCATCAGATTCATTGTCATTCACCTATTCAACTTCATAATTCTCAAAATCAAATGCTGGTTCATCATTTGCTATAGGAACCTAATCTACAGCAATAATTTGTGAACTTTCCTAGTTCCAAGTTGCATTTTCATCACACTTTTGCTCACATCAACAACACTAGCCTTTGGATTAATTTCAATTTGTTTCTATTGAATAGAAAAACTTCTTTCATTCATTTTAATAGGGAACAATTTTGGACTAGATTTATCTTAAACTTCACATATTTTGTCATGAAAATTATTGAAGACTTGAATTTTAACTAGATACTTAGCTAAATGGAACTATATTTTGCTTTAGTTGGAGTAGGTGAAAATCATAGCATTATAATCTATCTTTCTTTTTGTAGTGTGATATGTACAAGATCTTTGATGTGAGTTGTTCACCTACTACCAATGTACAATATATACAATAAAAAGAAGAAGATTGAAGTATGTATGGTCTTCAACGTCCCTCCTTGTGTTTATTTTCTAGTTTTCCTTTCTTTCTGCTAATCTCTCTTTGTCTTTCACCTTTTATTTTCTTGCTTATGAGCTCCAACAAAGTGGTATTAGAGCAAGCATTCTTGAGGGACCTACAAGAGAGTGAAACATGAGTGTATGTGAGGGAGTGTGCTGTGTAATCAACTGTCACAGCTATGTCTTCTTCTTCAAGTTAGCATGGTGGTTCCTTGTCAAACCCTCCTTTGTTTACATGGAAGTATTATGATGTTTGGGCCATCAAAACGAAGGCATTTCTTAAGGGAAATGATGTGTGGGATTTTGTGGAAAAGGGCTTTAATCTACCTCAATTGCCTTAGAATCCATCAATAGCTCAAATAAAGCAACATGTAGAGTATGTAGTTGGTTCATACAAGGCTCTTTCATTCATCTATAGTGCTATTGCAGATGAGATATTTCCCAGAATTATGAGAGCAAAACAACATAAGCAACATGGGAAACACTTTAGAAGGAATTTGAGGGTGATGAAAGGATTAAAGGCCAAAAGATTGTGAATTTGAAGGGGTTTGCAATGATGAGAGTGAAAGAGACTGACACCATTCACCAATACTCCAACAGGCTTATGGATGTTGTGAACCAAATAAGATTACATGGTGAAGATTTTCTAGACCAGAGAGTTGTGAAAAAAATGATTGTGAGCCTCTCTGAGAAATTTAAGCCAAAAATATTAGCTATAGAAGAATCTTATGATTTGAAGACTCTCACTGTTTATGAATTGATCAGCAAGTTGCAAGCTCATGAACAAAGGGCTATGCTTAGAATTGAAAACATGGCTGCTCGTGAAAGTGCTTTCCAAGCCCTGTAGAAGTGGAAGCCAATAGCACCATCCTTTGAAAAGAAGCAGTAATATGGAAGAGTAGACAAAGGAAAAATGGTGGCTACACAGTCTCAGTCACCTAAGAAAGATAAGTTTCCTCCATGTCAAATCTACAAAAGAACTAATCATAATGGCAAGGATTGCTAGTACAAAGGGAAGCCACAAGTGCAATGTAGATTCTACAAAAAATATGGTCACATTGAGAAATTTTGTAGACCTAAGGGAAATCAATATAGACAAAGTAGTAGCAAGCACAAGCTCACTTTGTGGGAAATAAAGTTAAAAGATCACTTGTTTATGGCTTCACATGTTTCTGGTTCAATTAACAAGTGTTCATGGTTTGTAGACAATGGTTGTTCTTGTCATATGGCAAATAATGAAGCAATTTTTTTTGAATTGGACAAGTTAGTGACAATCAAGGTGAAGCTTGGAAATGGCTCAATTGTGTAATTAGAAGGCAAGGATAGTGTGGCTGTTCAAACTAAGAAAGATACAAAGTATATTCATGATGTTCTCTTTATACCTTCCTTGAGTCAAAATCTATTGAGTGTTGCATAGATGCTTAGGAAAGGCTATTCAATTTTGTTTGTTAATGATGCATGTTATATCTATGATTCTCATGGTGCTGAACTTGGTAGAATCAAGATGGTAGAGAATAGCTTTCTTATTACATGGAATTCTTTTTCCTTGCATGCTGCTTATGTATTAAAATCTAATGAAAATTCTTTATGGCACAAGAGATATCGCCACTTTAACTTGAGGTCTCTTAAGTTCCTTCAATCTAATGAGCTTGGTAAAGACTTACCAGAAATTCGTGTGAATGATGATGTATGTTCAAGTTGTCAATTTGGGACGCTGCATATATAGGTTTTTCCCATCAATAGCTCTTGGAGAGTAAGCCAAAAACTTGAGTTAGTTCACACAGATGTATGTGGTCCAATGTAGACTGCCTCGCTTAGTCATAATCTTTATTTCATTCTTTTTATTGATGATTACACTAGGATGACTTGGGTGTATTATATGAGTAGCAAGGCATAGGTTTTCTTTATGTTTAAAAAGTTCCAAGTACTTGTTAAGAACCAAAGTAGTTGCAAAATCAAAACATTGAGATCTAACAATGGAAAAGAATACACTTCGAAGGAGTTTAACAATTTTTGTGAGGATGAAAGGATAGACATCAGTTAACTGTTCGTTATACTCCTCAACATAATGAAATTTCTGAGAGGAAGAGTAGAATAATTATGGAGATGGCTAGATGTATGTTACATGAAAAGAAGTTGCCTAAGAATTTTTGGGTAAAGGCTGTTTGCACAGCTATATATTTGTTGAATGGTTTGCCTACTAAGGCTATGTAAGGCAAAACACCTATTGAAGTGGTGTTAAGACTTCTACACATCATTTGAAAATTTTTGGTTCAATTTTCTATACTCATGTACCTGATGCAAAGAGAACCAAGCTTGATAATAAAGTTGAAACTGGCATTCTAATGGGTTGTTCTACAAAATCAAAAGGCCACAAGGTATATAACTTGCAATCTAGAAAAGTCTTAGTTCACAAGGATGTATAACTTGATGAAGATTGTCACTGGGATTGGGACAAAGAGTTGTTGTGAAGAATGGTGATGTAGCCTTTACCAATAATAATGCAGAAGCTTCTAAAAAGAAAATTTCAGCTTCTAATGTAACTGATGTTGATGCTCACCATGACTCCCTTATCTTGAAAACTAAATCTTTGTCTGAGATTTATGAAAGATGCAATTTGGCTGTTTTAGAGCCCAACACTTATGCAGAAGGTTCCAAGCATGACATATGGAGGCATGCAATGTAGAAGGAGATACATATGATTGACAAAAATGATACTTGGGAATTGACTTCCTTAGCACAAGAAAAGAATGCAATTGGAGTCAAATGGGTGTTTAGAACCAAGATGAATCTCGATGGCTCCATTTACAAGCAAAAGGCCAAATTGGTAGTGATAGGATATGTTGAGCAAGTTGGAATTGATTATGGTGATACTTTTGCACCAATTGCATGGCATGACATAATCAAAATGTTGATTGCTTTATTTGCAAACTTTGGTTGGACAATTTACCATATGGATGTCAAATCAGCTTTCTTGAATGGTCATTTGCAGGAAGACATTTATGTGTAACAATTTGAGGGCTTTATTATTTCTAGTCATGAGGACAAGGTTTACAAGCTTAAAAAGGCTTTATATGGGTTAAAGCAAGCACCTAGATCCTAATACAATAGTATTGATTCATTACTCCTTCAGCAAGGATTTCAATGGAGTGAGAATGACCCAACCTTGTATGTTAAATGTCCAATATGGCCATATTAAGCATATCAATGTCAAATTTCATGTGCTTAGGAATATGGTGTAGAGTAAGGAAATTAAGATGGTTTACTGTGACACTAATGAATAGGTCGCTGATATATTCACCAAGGCTTTATCAAAGTTCAAGTTTGAAATGTTCATAAGCAAGCTCAGAGTATCTAGTAAAAATTCAGGAGTGTTGAAGACTTGAACTTTAATTAGATACTTAGCTAAATGGAATTATATTTTGCTTTAGTTGGAGTAGGTGAAAATCATATCATTATAATTTATCTTTCTTTTCGTAATGTGATATGTACAAGATCTTTGATGTAAGTTGTTCACCTATTACCAATGTACAATATATACAATAAAAAGGAGAAGACTGAAGCATTTATGGTGTTCATGTTCCCTCCTTATATTTATTTTCTAGTTTTCCTCTCTTTCTACTGATCTCTTCTTGTTTTTCACCATCTGTTTTCTTCCTTCTGAGCTCTAACAAAAATGCATGACATAACCATGTTCAATCAACTAACCCAGACTTATCGAGTTATAACTAATATTAGGCACAAACAGTACACCATGAATGTATTTGATACATGTTTGTATCTCAACAACAGCTATTCCTTTGCCTTTGACCTCCATTAATTCTCCATTTCCAAGTTTGACTTTTGAATTATGTTTTCTGTCAAGGCTTTTGAATATGGCTGCATTTGGGTTCATGTGGTTTGTACAACCATTATTAATCAACCAAGAGTCAGTGTTTAAGATGGCTACACTACAATCTTAAGTCTTTATAGCCATAAACAGATGCTCTTCCTCTTCAACAATTTCTACAATTTTAGCTTGCTGAACTTGATCTAAATCTAAACCTTTTTTATAAACTCTTTCAACATGTCCAAACTGCTTACACTTTCTACATTGAACTCCAGGCCTAAACCAACAATATTTCTCGAAATGGCCTTTCTTTTTGCAATGAGAGAAAGGTGCATAGCTCTCCTTTTTGTTTTCATATTTGTTGTTTTGATACCCTTCCTTTTCTCAGTTTCTTTGGTCACTAAATTGCTTGTTTTCATCATCTTTGATGGTTGCTTTATCTCTGTCAATTGCTAAATATGCTCCTTCAACATAGTTTTCAAGCCTCAAAACCTTTCTTTGCTCCATGGCTTGCAATCCGTTGATTAATTCATTCAAGGAGAATTGAGACAAATCTTTGGAATCCTCCAAGGATCAGATCTTGTGCCCAAATTTCTCTAGTAGACTCACCAAAACCTTCTCAACTACTGTCTTATCAAATAGTTCTTCCCCTTACAATCAATCTTATCTCTTTCATTGCCTTCGTTAGTCAGTCAAAGAACTCCTTAACTGTCTCTGTATCCTTCATTCTAAAGAGAGCAAACTCTCTCTTCAGATTGAGAACCTCCATTTTTCTTGGCTTGTTATCGCCTTGGAACTTTACTTTCAACTTGTCCCATGCCTTTTTGGTTATCTCACAAGTTAATTCTATTAGAAATTTCATCCACAACACTGCTGAGTGTAAGTAGGTTAAGGCTTTGTATCTCTTGACACCTCCTTTGAGTGTCTCTTCATATGAGTAAAAGTAGCATTTGGAGGAAGAGGAGCTAGTTGTCGGTCTGTCTCAACCACTTCCCAGAGTTCGAAAGCCCTTAGATATTCTTTCATCTTCCTTGCCCAAACTGTGTAATTTTGGCTAGTAAAAATGGGGGTCTTTGTGGTGAAGCTGATATTTGATTCCATTGCAATGAGATTTAAGGTGTTTAGTGTATTTAGGTTTCACTCAAATCTCTCACAGTCTCACAAGAACTCATGAGCTTTGAAATCATGTTCAGTTTTTTCTCAAAGAAATGGAGAGAGATGTTGAAAGAAGTGAAATCAAATTTTCATTTCATTTTATTGAAATTTGTACAAAGAGAATTTAAATTATGAAATTCAAAAATTCAATCTATGCATTTTCTATGCTTAAGCTAAGGAACTTTTTTTACAATAATATTTTGTCATCAAAAAGTACTGATTAGATCACATGGCTCCAACTTGAAATATAACTAGAAATGACATAAAAGGTTTGGTTAGTGTACTAGTTGCTCTAAGTAATATAATGATAAGAAGAGTGTCGAACCCACGAGAATTGTATCTAATTAAGTACCAAAATAATTAATCTAAATTTATCTGAACAATCAAATATGAAGAAACTTTAATTAAAAATAATAAAAAGAAAATAACAATTAAAATAAAGTTAATTAAGATATGAGGTATTAAAGCATTGATTTCACCATAATCAATCAATATAAATTTTGGACTAATATGCTTCCAAAACAAATTTATTGAGTGTTATTGCATGTGATAGTGAATTTTCCTAAATTAACTAACTAGCTTTCTCATATCAAGTTAATCATTCACTTGTTTGTTAAATTAATCATATCTCTATGTAATTTTAAATAAACTAATGAGTATTAAGTTCTATGAAAACCTCTAACTTAAGAAGGGCGAGCTACTAACTCTCTTCTCTTCCTCCACTACCACATGTGAGCTAATTACCTTTCGGTCTCATAGTCTAACATATAGTTTATATTATTATTGGTCTAATTTATGCAATTCTTTCTCAAGTTCATGCATAAATCACTAAATCAATCAAAAGATTATCAGACTTTCAATACATTAAGTTCAATAATATAAACTCATCATATGAATAACTTTAATTGATAGCATAAAATTACAAAATCTATATTGAATTAATTAGGTTATATCGTATTGATTAGGTTATATCGTAGCCCTAGTAGAATAAATTAATTTATAATAAAAATAATAAAACCTAAAATTATAACCATGAACATTTGAATATCAAACAATAGATAAAAAGAATCTAAAGAAAAACAAAACCCAATTTGATGAACTTGAACTCTTTGATCTTTTGTTGTTGATGAATCATCTATCTTGATTTTCAAGAATGCCAAAAAAAGGGCTGTCACCACCCTCCCAAAGCTCTCCCACTTTTGAATTTGAATGGGTGTTTATAGGATTTTAGAAATCCTAATTGAAATAGAAGTAGAACCCACACCCAAAATAATAAATTAAACATGGATTTTGCAAAAATCATGTAAGGGGTCAACACCTTCAACAAGGTACTGACACCTTTTGTTCAGCGCACAACAACATCTCTGCGTTGGGTTTTTTTGTTAATGGTAAAATTACAATCCTAGTCCTTGACTTTTAGATTCTGCACAACTTAATCATCAACTTTTTTTATCTCTACATTTGGCTCTTAAAAATTATGATTTCCTCCAATTAAGTCGTTTCCTACACAAAAAATGAAAATTATGTAAAATCAAGTAAAATCTCATAAAATTCATCCAAATATCAATAATATCAAGATAAAAATTTCACATTAATATCTATATAAATTCAACTTATTAGGTATGATTTTTTACGTATTGGCAAAGTACGAGCTGGCACTGACACAATTAACACCCAACTCAATAAAGTTTATTATAGGGTTTATGAATGGTGCGTTCATGAAATACCCGACTCTCAAGGGAAGCAAACGTGGAGATGAAGAATAAAATCCTTTGATACATGGGAGAGAAAGGTCTAGTGGATCTAAACGCCCTGGTTACCCTTTAGCAGCTAGAGGCATTTGGGTTTGTGGGTTCCACAAACCTTTATGCCCAAGGTACACTTTTTGTGTGTTGATAGGTTCAACTAAGCTGAGTTATTTGTTTTTGTTTGTGCAGAAGAAATGGTTGGGACATTGGAGAGGTAAAAGGAGCGTGCTCAGAGATCGAGGCAAAGGGGTTCTAGCTCGGCCAGGCAAAGTAGTTACAGCAAGCCACCAGTTAGTCACACTTTCTAGAGGCCTTCATAAGACGGGAAAGTGTGAAACAGCTCAGCTATGAGAGAAATGAGCGAGTAGCGAGTTGAGACAAGACCTCATGAGCAACGCAAGCGTGTGTGGGAAGAAGGAGAGACTATTGACCAGCTTGCCCCAACTCGGCCGTGGGTTGAAGTAGCTATTGTGCCACCAACTCCCACAATTACTACTGCTCCTCCTGCCACTCTAAGTGGTAGCCAAGCTAGTCCTTCTGAGGTGCAGTGGCCTCCTCCTTGATTTGCATACCATGAGGGGTTCAATTACACTTGGTGAAAATTCCAGGCAGCCATGATGCAGGCAATGCATAGTTTTGTTCCCTTGGTGGCTCACCAACAGGCAAAGGAATTTATGCATTAGGCCGGTGGGAACAGTGCTGTGATGATGAAGCTAATGGATGTGAGTAAAAGCTCATAACTACCTTTCCCTTCCCATTATTTACGTGACTTTAATTGATAAAACCAGGTCACCCACTCGAAATTGATGATAGTGAACTCGTTTACTGTAGAGGTTCGCAATGCGACCTTGGTAAGCTAAAGATCACAAATGAGCTACTTCCCTAGTTTCTTCAACCATGTCCAAACTTTCACAAAGTGCCTAGTTGTTAACTCACTCGACAAAATGAGCTACTCTGGTGCTTGACAAGCCTATCTCAACAAGGATGACTGCTTCAGTGATAGGCTAAGGAAAAGATGTTTCGCCAATTGCTGAGCTAGATGCAATTTGACATGACCACAAAACGTTGTTCAGCTCGTCAACCCAATTTGATTGAGCAGCAGTGATGCACATTTTGAGGCCATGTAGAATAATTTTGTTAGCGAACTTCGCTTGACCATTCGTTTGTGGGGTGTAAACTAAAGTGAGGACAAGCTGAACTCCATAGTCCTCACAAAATGTTTTGAAGGCTACCACTTGAAATTGAGGGCCATGGTTAGCTATATTGCGCTATGGAATCACAAACCTAAAGGGAATAGGTGGGTAAGCAGCCACATAGAAAGAATAAAGTGGAATATGTGTGGCATGTTGCATTGGACATGCATAGAACCAAGCTGAATATAAATTCTTCTACTTTTTTCTCGATTGTGGTAGACAATGGCTTGGCATCTATCCACTTTGTAAAGTAATCAACAGCCACAACAAGGTGGGTGCAGCCTCTTTTACCTTTCACAAAGGGGTCGAGTAGATCTACCCCCCACTAAGCAAATGGCCACAGAAAGGTGAGTGAGGAGAGTGTTTCTCTTGAAATTTGAGGAGACTGAGCTCAATCATGGTGATGAAACGAGTATGCAAGAGAAGTGACTAGGTACGAGCTAATAGACTTGGCATGTGAATGTCAATGGCATTGAACTAGTAGGCCAAGCATCTCTTTATGTAATTTTGGGCATCCTCAACCATTTGAGGCCAGTAGTAACCTTGTCTTAGAAGTTTCTAAGCGAGTGTTTTTCCCCCGATGTGTGCCACAAAGTCCTTCATGAACCTCTCTCACACAGCATACTCTACCTTATAAGGAATATGGCATTTTAGTAGGGGCATTGATACTGCCCTTTTGTATAACTGGCCCTCAAGTAGGCAAAAGTGAGTAGCTTTTCGTCTTATTAGCTGAGCCTTAAACTTATCATCAAGAAGCTTCCCGAACTATAAAAATTCAGTGAAGGGTATAGCAGCTCAGGAAGGATGGGTTGATGCTCAACCTTGCACATCCAAAACCGTCAAAGTTAATGTACTTAGGGGTCTCAAGAGCCTCAACATAGGTTGTTATATGCGAGGGCATCTCTTTGGTAGAAGCTAGCTTTGATAGCTCGTCCGCTCGTCTATTATCATCCTTGGGGATTTTATCGACCTGAAAGGATTTGAAATTGCCCCTTAGTCTAGACACAAACGCATTGTACCATGCTAACTAAGGATCCCATATGTCGCAACTACCATTAACTTGATTAATAATGAGTTGAAACTCCCTAAAGACTCGTATAACATCTACCTTCAGATTTACAGCCAGCTTTAATCTGAAGATTAGAGCTTTATATTCAATGGTATTATTGGTTGTAGGGAATGGGAAACATAATGCATGCTCGCTTCTATAACCATCAGGTCCCATTAAAATGGCTCCAACCCCTGAACCTTCGAGATTGGAAGCTCCATCCACATAGAGAGGCCAAAGGGGGCAAGGGGAGATTGCCTCTTCGAGAGCAGTGGGTACACACTCAATCATGAAATCTGCTAGAGCTAGACCCATGATCACTACTCAATGCTCAAACCTCATATTGTACTCATTGAGCTTAATGGCCCAACCTACCAAACAACCTGACAACTTTGGCTTTTAGAGCACCTTCCTCAATGGCAAATTAGTAAATACAGTGATTTGATGTGATTGGAAGTAAGTTCTCAGCTTCTTAGCAGCACATACAAGGGCAAAGGTTGCCTTCTCGACTAACGCGTATCTATGTTCAACTCCTTGTAGAACTTTGCTTGTGTACCAGATAGGTTTTTATTGTTTGTTGGTTAAATACCCTTTTTGGTCCCTCTACTATAGGAAAAAGCCCCTTGTTAGTCCCTGTACCAAAAAAATCCCCTTTTTGATCTTTACTGTTCACAAATTCGGCCCCTTTTTGGTCCCTCCGTTAAATTTTGGCTTACGTGGCATGTTAGTTAACGGAAAAAAATTTTTTTTTTCTTTACTTAAATTATGTGTGAAATCCATTTGGCAAAACTTGATGACATGGCCAAATTTTTATCTTTAATTACCAATTTACCCTCATTTTCTTCCCCCATCCTCTCCTTCCTTCAACCTTTTTTTTCTTTTTTTTTTTTTCTTTTTTTTCCTTCAGACTTCCAATTACAAAAGAATGAACCCACGAGCTCGTGGGTGGGTTCGTTGCGATGAACCCCTCCTGGGTTTGCCGCGATGAACCCACGAGCTCGTGGGGTTGT